TATGATATTTATTTACCCTTCCCGATATCGAACCCCAAACCCAGCGGAGCGGAGACGGAATACTATAATTACGCGCGATATAAGCCTTTCGGGGAGTTATTAGCGTTTGGTAGCCAAAAAAAATAATAATAATAACGCCACTAGTATATCATTGTCGTGTTCCGACGATGTTTCCCGACCGCTTTGGCCGGCATTTTTGTGATAAATTACTGAATAACGCGGCGTTCTGTGCCTGTCCTTGTATGCTACTTCCTTTGCGGCTCCTAATGCCTTTCGACGTTGCATAATAGTGTCACCTTGAAGCGTTTTGCTGCGTTGTGAGTCATGATGGATTTCAACTGAATGAACATGACTTTAAGCACATATGTCACGAAAGGTACTCAACGTAAATTTTATACAGGACACGGCTCGTAAATTTAAATTTGTTGAGCGCGGGCGTCAGAACGACGAAGCGCATCAACATTCTCTACGCCCATGTTACGGTCAAGGATCCAGTCTGGTGTCGGCAAATAAGGTCTGAGCCGTACGCGAAGGAAATTTACATCTAACGCCAGACGAGGCACCCGATGACTGCCACCATTCGAAAAGCTGCATTGTTTGACGTACGAAACACACGTTGTATGCAATTATACTCGAATCCAAATTGCGGTATAAAAATACACGTTAGTGTTTCTAATTCGAGAGCGGCCCGAGCACGTCGATTATAATATATTTCATTGGGCGGCAGTTATTTATTATGGGAAGAAATACGTCCCCGCCTCGGCGAACCGTCGCTCCCCAATTTCGCTGCGAACAACGCTCAGTTCCGACGCCGATTCGGCTTAAGGATGGTTTTGCAACGCGAAAAGCCCCGCCCGGGGAACTGACACACATTTTCGACCTTTACGGACCTGTTCGCACTCGAAAGAAGTTAATAAGGCGTTTTCGGATTGCGGTCAGTGCGATTTCGTTCGCCCTTCTTGCGCGACATTTGACCTTTGCATCCGACCGCTCCGCAGCGGGACACCATTTCCGAACGAAATTAAATCAATGCTGTTTTTAAATAAACATGTTTGTTTGTTGCGAAAGCGTCCATTGCGTACATTCAGCATGATTACCTGAGTTTTCCCGGCATATTGTCAGCGTCGGCCAGGCCAACATTTCTTTTTATAGTTGATAAAAATTTACTTTCGATGGAGAGGTGAACTTTTGCCAAGTTTTTTGAAAAGTTAATGGCTTGTGGACACATAGAGGTCCGGTATAGAAGACGTCAACAGTCATACTCATGTTTGTCTTGATCATGCCTTTTCTGTGACTAAACATGCATTCGTGATTGTATTACCTCGAACATATATAACTATACAATGATGAGAGACATAGATGGTAAACAAAACGGCCACTGCAAGCTGCTGCTCTCGAGTGAAGATCTTCAGGTCTCATATCTTAATGGGGCAATTGATCAATTTGATTTCTCTACGCTTTAAATAGTATAATACGAAGTCGAGTTCAAAACGAATCATGTTTATTATTGTTTGCTGTTTACATGATGCGCTCTCTAAAACATCTTTACAAGATAAAAGTCTTCGAGATGGTGACCAATCGTCAGGTAGTATTAAATACGGGGTAACTCAAATTCTTATTAAAATTAGAACTAGGTGGGGTTAAGATGGGTTTTAAAGGTATACGTGACCCTTTAATGGAGAAATAAGGGTACCGAATAGCGACTCAGTAGTGTAATACCTAGTAATATGCAAAAAATTAATAGAACTAATAAATAAACGAGATTGTGATTCAAGATTATCGACCCTGTAAGCGGCAATTCTAACCGAGTAACCAGCGTCGCGGGTTAGGACATTACAACACCTTAAGACAGGGCGGAGAGCGACCGCCCACTGTCAAACGCGGCTCCGTTCTGAGGCAAGCTCTGACAATGTGCAATTTAAAGTGACAATAATTACAAATTACAAGTTGCGACTGCAACGTGGCGCATTATATTTATACTTGTGTCCGCTGCAGACGCCTTAAATTTAGCGCTGCATGTTACCGACCTCGGAGGAGTTGGTGCAAGTCTTGATTACAACTTTTTCGTTGCGGGCTTACAAGTCACTTTATAGGTATTATGGTGGTCACTTTTTAGCCTAGAGCCGGTTCAAAAGGGGTTCCAGAAAACATACATGTAATAGTAAAGGAGCACTGGGTGAAGGGTTCGTTTCCCACCCTTTCTTTGCAAACTGTTGCATTTATCTGCATAAGAGGTTGCAGAAAATACGAGTCGACCTTCAAACTAATCGGCAGGTGAGAAAAAGGAAACAGTTATGCCATGCTGTACATATAGCAGATCATCGCGCTTCGTTATAGGGTTCAAACGATTTTTTATCGCTATGACAGCTAAATCAATAGACGCCCCTTACACCCGATCGAGCGCAATCCCCCCGAAAGGGCAACGGATGAATTGCAAATCTAAATAACACAGGGAATGGGTGTTGGGGCGAAAAGGCACAAAGAGGTTTCAATGAATCGAAATCCGTCGGTACGCGTAAGCGCGGCGACCGCACCCAAGTAGGAAACCAAGTAGGAAGGAGTATTTATTTTAGAAAACTGAGTAAAGCAAATAGTCGACGATCAGCCGCGGACCCGAGGACAATAAAAACAATGCGGCTTGTGCAAACACTGGGGAGGGATGGTTGCAAGGCGGCCGCGTTGGAATCCGGCGTGCCTTATTCATAACGTGTAATCTTTGGGGTACGTACGACCTTACCGAAACCGCTACAAAAATTATGCCGATGAATTTCAAGCACATTCAACGTCAGAACTTGGACGTTTGCCTGTAAGAGGAAACTTGTTCCGTGTTCATGTATAAATCGAAATATGTACACACATATTTCGATCGTATCAATTAATCCTGGGCATTATATATATCATAATAATTGTAATGTCGCTGGTGTTGCTATACAATAAGACGAGTGGGCGTACACTCTCGTCGGCTTCAACTCCTAACTAACGGTTAGTCGCCCAACTTCGGTGCTCAATGTGAGCATGCACATTATAACGTAAGCACGTATAAAATCACATCTTCATGCCTACTTAGGCCGCGGCAATTGGCGCTACTCGCGAGCGTGAGCACGTACATTCAACCGTGTTTACCGCCCCGTCGCGGTGCTCAGGAGAGATTTGAATTTCTATCCGTTTAAAATTTCAATATATTAAAATGTATCGAATCGGGCGACAACGCGGGAGCGATGCGCCCGGGTGGAGAGATATGAAAACATTTATTCGGTGCAGTTGGCTAGGGCCGCGCGATAAATATTCCGAACGAACGAGACGTCTACCGACCTAGCTCCAGGGGCGTGACCTCCGTACAAGACGCTGAACTAGATCGAAACGACGTTATTCAAGACGTTTGACGTCACACGAAACACCCGTATGCAAAACACTCGCCCTTTACAAGCAATGTTTAATGGATGGATGGGACCACTGAATAAGTTTATCGGTAATGCGACGGCGCAACCTTCGACCGGAGCCCTACTTTATTGATTTTTAAGTTGTAGGTACATCTTTTGGCGCGTTTGGAAAAAAATGTGAGGGTAAAGTTTTTGCGATGCGCACGCACAACGACAGCCGAAAATCGACATGATGTCGGTTTGCGAACAACTTGCCAATATTAGGAGTAGTAGTAACGTACCTACTTATCGGAGTAGTCATTTCGCCCTTTGCTAAGTTTCACGTCAATTGGGCTAACGGTGCTCGAGTTTTAGGTGAATATACATAAACACATACATTCTCTTTTATATATATCGAATATCAATTTCTATGCGTACACTTGTAAAGATCCGCGAGCCATGTCTGTGGCTGGATCCCATCCACGTCTCGGTGGCCTCATCCGTCGGGCCTCCCCGTTTAGGGCGTGATGGCGTCGCGACTCCGTTACACGCTTTGGAGCGTCGAAAATATTTTATATGCCCGTGTAAATATAGCCGGAGACACCGTGCCGGTGGATTTTTTAGTTTCCAACTAAACAAACAGACGGACAGTTCAAACAAAAGATGTTATTGTGAACAGATTTTTCGTCTCCTCCGCGCGTTCTATTGTGATCGCGCTGCGCCCGCGCACGGTCCGTGGCCGTTTTAATATCGACTCAATTGCCGCTGCAAAAGGTTGCGATTGCCCAAGAGCGGGGCCGCTCTGTGACATTGAGTAAACTTCACGTTTTAATTTCGGTATAGTCTTTTTACACCGTAACCTTGGATAGGTTCATATTAAAATGAAATACTACAGAGCAGCACATTTATATCGTAAACACGATTGTTTCCGAAATAGTGTGAGTGCGAGCGAAAATAACGTGGGACGCTTGTTCTATAACAATTATATTCTCAATAACTCTACAACTTAGGGGGTGACGCAACGCGTTTTTATGTAACGCGTTTAATGTAGGTAGGTGCCGAATATTGTAACGTATTATTCCAAAGTCTATAATTGTGTGAACTATTTGCGATTTTATTAAAAAGTTTAATGCGTCGTAACAAAAAGTTTAGTTGGCTCATTATTACCGCATTGTATGCGCGGATATACCGGTCCGATAATAATCGTTTTGTATAAAACAACACGGACTTAATAGAAAGGGGACCTTATTGCGTTGGACGATAATCGGAAATCGGTCGGGCCGCGTGGGCCGCGTTCATTTGTCGGAATGATAGATATTAGGGCATAATTTACTTTTTCAACAAAAGCCGTTAACGTAGAATTAGGCTCAATTCACGGAGACGTAATTTCAGCGACAGACATTCTCATGCCCGTACGAATAAAACATTAGTCGTGTGACAAAAAGTTTGAGCAATAAAGAGATCACTAGAATGTGTCCCATGCATTACATATTATAGAGTGCAGTACAATTTATTATTTATTCCAGAATGACAAAAACCTTGGAAAGTAATAGGATAGAGAAAAGGTATTATTTTGCCCAAAGCGCGTGTAACTATTCTGCTGTCATTACAATCGATCGTCAAAACGAGCCAAGCGTTTTAATGATTCACTTTTTATTGCTGCACCATGAAGATGCTCATCGCCCCACACTGTGCACCCATTGTAGGACAACGGGCGTGATGAATGCACCAAGTGTTGCACCGGAACAGGCGCACGAGCTCGAAGCCACGCACCGCGCACCCCTACGCAATGCGTGAGCAGTGCAGCAACACAATTAGAAGAGCACCGACGCAAACACAACGTCAAATAAAGAGAAAAGTTATTATATTTTTTTATTGGGGTGGGCCGCCACCCTCACCGCCAACGGGGTTATTTTTATTTTATTCCCAAAGTTTATTTTCCATTTGTTTCAACTTCTATATTCGCGACTCGAGGGCTGAAAGTTGGTCGGCCGAGGCGCACGCACGCACTCAATGACTCACTAATGCGTGCCGCATGATTATATTTTTATATTTAAACTTTGCCGGGGAACAACATTAAAATGAGAAAAGTTGGCGGACTATTATTATATTCGCGGCGGCGCGCGGCGGCGGTTTCCGATGCCGCCATATTAAACTCCCCGGGGCCCGGCTTTTGTTTCAATTTTATTTACTTCTAAGTGGATATTGTTGCGCGGCCCCCGCCTCGGCGGCCCCCGGCGCCCCGCTAATCCAGAATCTTCACCCCGAATTAACGGATCAGCTCGTTTGCTGCACCACGTGCTAATTCGGCCAACGCTGCCGGTATAGTGTGCACAGTCGGTGTGAACACGATGCCTAACGCCACACACAGAGCAGCCGGCAGCGGTGGCCCCGTCCGGGGCGCCTTAACGCCTTCACGCCCCATGTAGGGTCACGGGTCCTAATCCCTCCTTATGGCTGAGCCGTCGCCGCGGCCGCAAACATATTATAGGTGGTGGGCCCTCCTCCTCGACCACCGGCCGCGGGCCCCGATACGCTGTTAGCGTTACTCTTTAACCGGCGACTTAGGTAGTCTATTTGCCCCCCAAAAATAAAGTAGTCCACCGGCATTTTTAACAAGCAAACCCGAAAGAAACACAACGGACAAAGGGAACAGCCGTCGCCACCACGCCGAGTGTTGACTTTCCATCAATACTGCCTTCAGCATAGGCAACAATAAGGGTTGGTAAAATGCGTCTAATTGCTGTAAAAACATTCGAGCCTCGAACACAGTACGATTTAAAAGTGATATTCTCAAACCATAAAGCAGTTTCACATGCCCATGAGAAATATTTATCTTAATGTAATAAGTAAACTTAAAGGCTAGCACGCCGGACCCGAGGTTACCGTGCGGCGCGTTATTGGCCCTTGGTGTGTCCCGGATTTTATAAGCTGCGGTTCAATTTATTTTGCACATTTAAATGCGTATTCACTGATTTAATTGGTTCGATGGAAGAAATAATACTCGAACCATTATATAATTCAGACTAACGATTGAAATTATGTTTTAATACATGTAATATAGATTTTGTTAATTAATGACATTTTTGATGAAATAGGACATGGTTTTATAAGTAAGCATATGCGGGTGAATTTTGTTTTGTAGAAACGGGGCTACAAGTTCCAAGACGGGTCGGTCGACGCGTTCCCCGTTTCAATTAGGTACACAATACATAGTAGTCGGTAGACGTGGCGAGGCTCCCTCCGTCGCCCATTGTTTGATGATGCATTTAAATAGTGTGCCTCAGGTTCGATGCGTCCGGTTTTCGAAAATAAACACACCGTCCAACATCAATATTTGGGCGCGGGCAATAATTTACGAGTGCTGCCCGTTTTAGGTGTCCCGGACTTGTCCGAGTGCCCATTTCTTTATCGACGATATTCGACCGTGAAATGGGCGGCAACGACAATCCCAGCCTCTATTTGGCGCGCTAAAACATCGATGCTGTTACTTTCATGGCATTAACTAAAGTGATTATGTGTATCTTCTCGTGATTCAGACGGAGATTGTGGGATTCTAAATTAAAATTCGTACACACATCAAGCGAAACTTAAAAGCAAATGATTGATATAAAATTCATGTGTCGACGATTACAGATAGCTCGATTTATAAATGTGTTATGAACATAAGTATCAATTGAAAAGAAACCAGCATAATTCATCTAGTAATTCTGAAGATAATGGGACCTCGATATCAAAGGCGTGGCGGTTAAGTTGCTTGAATTAAAAATAGATACCGGCGTAAGTAACAGACAGAAGTTGAGGATCAATTTGACTACACGATAGTTGGAGAGTTTAAAAAGAGACAATTGCTTCGACTGCAACGAGTTCCGGGAAATGCATTTCTTTTGTTGTGAAATTATAGAGGTGGACAAATTATAGGAGACATAGCTCTATATATGTCCAGACGGTAGCGCACATTACAGTCTGTACAAACTAAACCGTAGACTAGTTTGTTCAGTGAAATTGTTATTAATTTGCTAAGCCAGGTCGAGTGTGTGACTTCATGGCGAACGTTGCAATAGGTATGTGTCGTTCGTGTTCGTCATCTCTTAAGATTTGTTGATCGAGAGTGTGTGTGTGTGTGTGTTTTTTTTTAGTAGTATTGAAAAATTCCAATTTATAATTTGAATCAGATGAGACATTATATTTTAATGTTACTTATAAGAGCTAATTTATCCGTAATGGTTTGTGTAATATTTGGAAAATGATATCTTAGAAATGTGCATCGCTTATTAAAATCATTTGGAGAGGAATTATTTTTTTAGGATTCCACCCAACGGGTAATATTACTAACACTCCACTGTCTATCTATCTGTTTTCTGTCCATCTGTTACCAGGCTGTATCTCTTGGACCATGATAACTACACAGTTGAAATTTTCACAGATGATGTATTTCCGTTGGGTGGAGCTACATCATCTGTGAAAATTATTTTTATTATTATTATTAACAACAAATATTTAAGTGGGGCCCCCATACAGCAGACATGATTTTTGCCCTTTTTCATAGATCATGGGACGGAACCCATCGTGCGCGAATCCGACTCGCACTTTGCCGGTTTTTGTCCATGTACTGTAAGTTAGTTTAGTTTTCCAATAACGCATAACATATGTGCTCAGGGACAACGACGTATTAGGTACGTTAAAAATTACGATTTATATTCTTCACAAATTCCACTCCCGCCTTAGTTGTACAGCCTGGGAAGGGCTCATGCAAAAAGGCATCATCGCAATCAATTGCTTCGGGACTTAACCCATGAAAAGTTAGCACCGAAAAAAAAAACGCGCCGAGCGACGAATGTTCCGTACGCGGACAATTAAATGTTGCGTGTTTCCACAGTTTGACCGCGTCGCCCGTGATGCGGGGGGCGCGTTGTTGCGCGGTCCCATTGTCGCACGTTAAACGGGAACTAGTTACACGCTTATATTGCACTTGTTCTAGATAATTTTGCGCTCTAGCCCTTCGTAAGTGAGAAGCTCCATGTCTCAACGAAGAAACAACATTATGCCTAGTTAATTGGGGACGGTCCAGCAAAAGTTTCGTAGAGCAAAAGCATGTTCGACTATTTTTTAAAAATGTTTCCTACTTTTCTTTGGTATCAACGGACACAGAGCGGAGTGCGCATATAGCAAGGAATCTTTTTCCGCTACGCACACCAGCGCCGTCAATAAACAGAGGCACAAAAGTTTACAACTTAGAACAACTCTATCCGCTGCACAGACAACCCGCTCAACAGAGACATTTCCAGTTCTAGAAAAGTATTCTCATAATCTATTTCCCCATCAGGGCCTACTATCAGATAATCTCACGAAAACATTTGTTTAGTACATAGAACATAAACCAGACAAACATAGAACGAATCGATGTTTGATTCAATTCTATAAAAACAGACACTTCGATGTTCTTCGCTATATCACTGAAGTGTTCAATTTAAACGGTGCACGTTCTGTAGAGCGTTTGCTCTGCGCTCAGCACTCGTGTTTCCTTTTCAACGTCGAGAGTTGGACGCGTCGACTTAATTGGCCACCGTCGCGGCCCGCGTCGGACCCGGGGAAAAGATTAACCGGACCGCGGACGTACAAGTTTATCCGGCGCGCCCGGATAAACTTGTAGCCGTCTAATTACGCCACGGCTAGGGACGAAGCCCGGTCAAAAGTAACCTGCGACGTGTGTTGTTTTGAAAATGATATAAGCTGGTATACCGGGAATTGAAAAAGATTCAACTGCGAAGGTTCTTGTTCCCTAATAAAGATTGCTTTGTGAGAAGATGGCAAGCGAGCAGACTTTTCGCTTTTAGCACCGCGTGGCTCCCGGTTGGCCCGCTCACCAGGCAAAACATCCTTTTCCCTTTGGTCTACCGAGATGCTATGTGTTCCTCGGAAGAGTCAGGGTAATCAGAACCTGCTGCGTATTACTAAAACAGTTGAAAAATCAATCAAGTAAAAACTATATACATACTACCTACACCTATATAATTTAAACCTATAAATTTCACTTCAAGTGCGGAACGTTCAAACTAATCAAACCACTAAATATAGACTACGTGGTAATGAATAGAATTTATAAATTACGTTTTTTTTTTATTTCCTAGAAGAATTTCCAATTACACCGTGCGCCATAGATTTTCACACATCCGCACCTGTCCCGATAAATTATAAACAATAATTTATTTGGCGCATTTTAAATGGGAAAACTATTCGTATAGAAATAGACGGACAATTGATATATTGTTGTGCGTTACGAAGGTCGGCCGGAGAGACCGCTTGCCAGAATCTTTTCTAATTTCACGAGCATAATGCTTATGAAATAATAAATAATTTATACGATCAGTGTTAGGTTATGCGAATATAGCTTTAACATTACTGCGGGACGTTGAGAAACATTTTTGTCATTATAAACTACCTAGAGTTCTTAAGAACACAATACATATAAGGAAAAACCCAGACGGAAACATCGCAACGAACGCTAAGGAGTATGGATATTGTGTTGACAAAAAACACAGAGAGAGTAAAGTGAGAGAGAGAGATAGCAATCGTATTTATAATTACCGACACTTATTTTAATTGTCGTTGTATGGAAACATAATCTCTAAGCGTTGAGCTTATCAAAGTTAAGTGCTATAAAATAATCTAGAAGGTTTCACAATACATTTTATCTAATTTTTATCACGCGATTAGGGGGAAACACATCATCATTATTAATAATGTATATCAATGTAATATATCATAGGTTAGATGCTATTATTTAGCACAAACAGAGATGTCTTAAATTAACGATAATTGCGTCACGGAGAAAAAAAGTTTTACATTAAAATTAATGCGAACAATAACCAAAAATGTCTACAGCACATATTAGGCTAATCCAGTAAAGACTAGTCACAATCAATCACAGAGAGCTGAGTCGATAGTAGATCTAGACCCCACTACGCCGGCACCCTATGGCTGGACGCCGCACCGCACACGTTGACTCGACCGCGAAACAATAAAACAAAGCGTAAGTGAAATGAATTTCGACGACTCCGTGGCGCAGTTGCCAAGGTATTGGCTTCGACGTCAGGGGTCGTGGGTTCGATTCCCACACGGGACAAATGTTTGTGTGTGACCCACAGATACTTGTTTCGCATCTGGGTGTTTGTCTGCGTGAAGTTTATGTTTGTAAAAGGTCATTACAACACAGGATAATTTATCCTAAAGTAATGACAATGTTTAAAAAAGAAAAAAAAGAATGTAAATAAGCGACAGTGTAAACAACCGACCAAATTAACGTCAGATCGTGGGCCAAACAGCGGTAACTACTCACCGGCGAAATGACATAAAGAGGAAGCGGGCACTTTACATTTCACGGAGCGACGCATCGTCCGAAAGTGAGGAGCAATTCGAAGCAATC